TTCATCCTTCAACGACTAGTTCCTAGAAATCTTATATCTAAGAAGTCAGAAGTTATACTAAAAAGATGAACAAGAGAGAAACAAGAAGCAACTGGTATGCACAAGAAGATAGAGGTGTTCTACACCTCTATCTGATTGAAGAAATAACAAAGATCAACAGTGAACAACACTTGTGTATATGCATAACCCATTGTTATTGTTGTTAAATGTAATAAGGCTTAAGGTTTCCTAAAATACTAAATATCTAGGAAATTCTTAAGTACTTAAGATCTTTGTTAAGATCATTACTCTGAGTCTGATACACTGTGTTCCCCTTTCTTTTGAATATGACGTTCCTAAGTAAAGGCAAAGTCTTAGACAGGAAGTCTGAGCAAAGAAGTCTTAGACATGTGCTATAAGCAAAGGTAAAGCCTTGGGCAGGAGGTATGAGCAAGGAAGTCTTAGATATGTGCTCTAAGCAAAGGCAAAGTCTTGGATAGGAGGTCTGAGCAAAGAAGTCTTAGACATGTGCTCTAAGAAAAGACAAAGCCGTGGACAGAAGGTCTGAGCAAAGTCTTAGACATGTGCTCTAAGCAAAGGAAAAGTCTTAGACATGTGCTATAAACAAAGGAAAGTATTAATCAGAAGTTGGTTAAGCAAGGAAAAGTCTTTGACACGAGCTCTAAGTAAGGTGAAGTCTTAGGCAGGTGGTCTAATCAAGAGAAGTCTCGACCAGAAGTTGATTGAGCAAGTTAAATCTTAGACATGAGCTTTAAACAAAAGAAAGTTTTAATCAGGATCTGGTTAAATAGAAAAGTTTCAGACTATAAGTCAGTGTTGTAAAAGTCTTATGTTTAAATACATAAGCAAGTGTATTCAAGCATTGGTTATAGTAAAAATCTCTTGCTAAGCAAGGGGACTTGAGTACTCTCAATTGGGAGAGGAATCAATATACATAGTGTTGTTTCTTTGTGTCTGGCTTCAGTTTCGTTGCGTTTATGATCTTGTTCTGAATGCCTATTCAGAATCATATCTCTCTTCAGAATACAAAGGAAATGAAAAATAGATATGCACTTTCTCCTTACACAATTCAACCCCCTCTTCTTGTGTGTTTTCCCACCTTCACGGACAAACCCCGAGGTAATCAGGACCTACAAAGGAGAACACGCAAGTCCCTTTTGAGTTACAACAAATGAAAAGAAGGCCACCAATATTACCAATAGACGAGGAAAAGCTCATATCACAGAAATTATTCCCCCAAAGGGAATGGACTAAAGAGGTAGAGACCTCAGAAAGCTTAGTCTCTTAGATTACAAAGAACTCCAGGGACTTAGAGACAATAAGATTTATAACCTTACTCTTTTTTATCCTAGTTCCCAAACCACGGATGTTGAAAGACCCAATCAACATCAAGCACAACTCCTAGATAGTCTAGCAGACCTCAACTGCATGTCTCTATATTCAAGACCTAATAACCTTTTAATCTCATCCCCATCACTTAGGAGAAAGGTACAACCTAGTTTGTTAGCTTCCTTGAAAGCCCTTACAACTTTATTACTATCCAGTTTATTGAGAAACTCAAGTGATAAAGGAATGTGACTTCGATGACATGAAACACGAGGAAAAGAAGCACCCTACAAGCAAATGGACAAGTTAAGTCTCTGAACTCAAGCCCTCCTTAGGAATATATCAGGGGTACTATCCTGTAAACGAAAACCAATAGAAGTTAGAGGACTAGCAATACCTAAATCCATATAAGGAGTGAGGAGGTCCTTGGCCTGATGCTCTGAGGTAAGCCTAAAAGGAGAGTCTGATGCATGCTCTTCAATTAGAGAAAATGTCGTCTCTAACGCCACATAATCATCTACATCCACCCTCACTGGAACCATGTCAAGATTAAATCCTACCAAAGACAAATTTCTCTAGCTTTTCCTCCGAGAGGGAACCAAGAGATTCACCGGAAGAGAGATTCACCGGAAGTCACGGGAGAAGAGGAATCCTCCAAAAAAAATTATTCTCTTGAAAAGAAGGATTCTTGGGGGTGGCAAGAGTACAAGGGTGGGGGTGTGTATCCAAAATAAGAATGCAACCTACTGAAAGTGGCCCATTAGAGTCAACAACCCAATTGTCATGTTTGCATAAAAAACTGTAGGGCCCAATCCCAGAGAGAGAAGGAAACTGGTCGCCACTTGGTTCAGATCTGGGGCTCGCAAACTTTTGATGAATATGAGCATTAATGGGTTCAAAAAAGTTGTCGTGAGAAAAAGTTGGGTTTGACTTCATCTTAGCCAAACGCGTGTACATTGCTTTCGATGCCATCTGATCACGTGCAAAACTGTCCAAATCGCTTTGAATTTTAAGCAAGTTTGAACAGTGACGTGACAATGAACCCAGAGAACCATTCGATGGGAGCGAGCAAACATGTCGCTTATCCACCTCAGACTTATCATTGTCGCCACTAGACATCTCCCCACATATCAAACAATATGTAGGCAATGAGGAGTAGCCACGTGCAAAGCTTCTGACCCCACCATGCAACGAACGTAACCTTTTGTCTTCCTCATTGAAGCCATCCAAATTTCCACCATTTTCACTTGATTTTTCAACAAAAAAAACCTATTTGACCTTCATTAACATCACCGAAAGAATCTTCACCAGTTAAATCATTAATGGTACCTATCACTAAGCTTTCATCCTCCACAAAAACTAGGAACAGATGGTGAAAAGGGGAGTTGGAGATGCACGGAGAAGAGACTTCTTCAACAACCCAAGTTGAATAAATCACGACTCCAATTTTTAGTTTAACCACCATATCAATGAGAGGTCCAAGTTCCGTAGTGATAAGTATTATACTAGTTTCAAAACCAACGCCTGAACATGAACTTTGATTTACTTTAAAACTTTTCCAAACAACTTACCGATATTCCTGAAATCTTTTTTCCAAGCATGGAGTGGAATGCCTTTGCACACAACCCACACGGTTTTTCTGAATATATTAAGAGACATTAGTCACGGGACCATGGATATAAAGAAAGATTTCCAAATCTCTGCTTCATTAGCATAAAAATCCTTCAAAGCTCCTTCAACAATGGAGCTTAAAAGAGCATAGTCTCTCCCTATAGAAGAGATTTTTATTGAAGAAAAATCCAGGACAATAAGTTATTTTTGGATAAAAGATACCTGGATTTGTGAGTTCAAAACCCCAACAAAGCAATGTGAAAGAGATGTAATCTTGGCAATATCTTGCTCAACATTGAGACACTCAACCCTCCCAAAGAAAGAAGATGGACATGTACTGAGTCCAGTAGGTTTCAAATCCATTTTACTTGAGGAGGATACCGCATCTTTGAAGTTAGTTCCATTGGCAAAACCAATATTTCTAGACGCCCTAGGACGAGTTTCAGCTTGTACCCTTAAACCAGACTGAGATATAAACTTCACACCTGAATGATGCTTAGCAAATCTAGTAAGATTCACTCTCAATTTGAACGAATTCATCCACACATATGATAAGGAAGTTTAGAGTTTCTGCAAATTCTTCATCTCCGAAAACCTAACAAAACTAGAACGTTATCCAAATTTCAAAAGCTTCAAAGGAATGAATACCTCTTTCACCAAATCAAACCTTTCAAAGCACTTACGAACCGAACCATTCAAAGCTTTTACGAAAATATTTAAGACGTAGAAGAAAGTGAGATCTTTCGGATATGTATATTTCTTCGAGTTGTCTATAATAGGAGGCACAAATGCAATGTAAAATGCAAAGGAATGATTTTGTGAAATGACAATGCAACTATGAAAAAGGGGAATGTGATGGAACTGATTTTATGATAATGCAAGAATATATGGGAGTAAGTTGATGCACTCAAGGTCCCATATGGAAAAAGGAATAAGGCTTTATGTGACATAAATGATGCATGAAGAACATATCTAAATGCAGCTACATAGAGTCGTGTAGGTTCAAGTATTAGTTCCTTGGATGTGTGATGCAGATGCAAAAAATGCAGTTTAAGACCGTTGATTGAATGTATGCAGGAAGACAAATGGAATGTTGAAAGGTTATTCCATTGAAGATGTAGGAACTGAATTATGCATGAGAGAATGTAAAAATTCTAGAGAGAAGTTAGAGCATCTCTCTAAAAAAAAACCTTAAGGACTCTCCATTGATGCGAATTCGATATTAACCCTTTATTTAAAAAGAAAAAAAAAAGTTATCACCAAAATATTAATAATACCGCAAGACTAATATTAAAAAAGTAATTAAAATATCGCCAACAACAATTGAGGTGTTATCGATAATGAAATTACCGTAGCTTTTATTACAACAAAAAATGAGGCGAGTCTAACTCAAGGGGAAGACTTCTAAAACCCTTGGATTTTATTCGAAAATTTCTCTGATTTATAGTTTTAAAACCGAAACAGATAATGTGTGGTCTTTTGGATAATGTGTGATTCATATATAACAACAAAACATATAATTTCAGTTCAGTAAAAGAAATTCTCTATCTATAAAAATGGTGGACAAAAGAAATACATGTAGAAGGGCCTTGTTCCAGCTTCAAAGTTCGTTAACCAAGCTTCCTAGTGTCAAAATTAAGCAGCAACAAGCAGCTTCAAATGCAATAATCAATGCTGGTCCACAGGTAAAAAAATAAAATTAAGATGAAAATTGAAATTTTGAAGATCTTCAAATGCAACTTTGTTCTAGTGTCTAAATTGGGGTTGATAAAACCATACTTAAGCATTATTGTATTATCATCAAAAGAAATGAAACAAACTTAAGACTTTAAAAATATAATCCTACCTTCAATCCTATTTATAAGAGAAATTTTACATCTTAGATTCATTGAATAATCCATATATATCTGGACTGTATCATGAATAAGATATATTGATTATTCAATAAATATAAAAAATCAACTTTCTCTTATAAATAGGACCAGAGAACCTCAGTAATCACCACTGTAATTATGAGTCTGATAATTAAAAAGTGATGAAATTGCAATTGAAAGAAACCAACCTTAGTCATGCCTAACGCCAAGCAATTTTGATGCTAGCTCCCAGGTGACAATCGTTGCTGCATTAGCCGGAAACGCTCGACTTAAGGTGGGGCCCAGACCTGTGTAGCACCCCTTCAAACCAGTCCTCTTGTAGATCTACAAAATAAAACAAAAACAAAAAAATTTAGGCCTCTATAGTCTCAAGTTTATTTTAATGATTGGCAATTAAGAAACAGATGAAGAAAGGTTCGAGAAAGCTTACAGAACTCAAAACCATAAACGGATTTCTCTGACAGTTTTTATCGGGATTTGTCTGAATTAGAGTCTTTGCCACGTCGAGAGGCATAGCTACCACCCAAAACTGGTAGAACAATCAATCAAAATCACAACAACAACAACAAAAAAGATTAATAAGGTTCATAGTATATTTAGATTTAAACTGCATGAGTAAATGCATGCTTAGTGCTCAAGATGCTTACAGCCACACCGCCAATGCCACCAGTAACAACCCCGATTCCCATTTCAATCAAGTTGTTGTAATTGGATGAAGCAGGTTTGATGTGTGAATGCATGTGATAACGCATATATTCATATACAGTTAAAAAAGTAGCATTCCCTACAGATTCTCTAAGCAATGTCGTAACACTTCCACGAAAAATTCCTTTCACCTGAAAGGAATGCCATCAGTAGCTATAACACATTAATCAATAACTATAATGTTGCAGAGTTTCCTCACCCCTTCAGTTTTTAAAGTTTTAGCAATACAATCAAAAGGACTACTGTATCTACTTGACATCGGAACTAAAGAGTCGGCGCCTTGGATCTGCATCCTACACTGTGGAAGTTCAAATTTAATTGGAATGGTTATAAACACCATAGACCAAAGAAACTGCAGCACATATAGTATACACAAACCTTAAGTTCACTTTACCTTTATCAGCTCTGTTGGACCTAACACAAAACTAATGATGGCACCACTAAGAGCTGCAGATGGTAGTATAACTTGAGGCCGTGGTGCACCGTTTTGCACGCCGCCCTAGATTAGTGGAAAGAAACAAAAGTAAAACGCATGAAGCAGAGCATGCTGAGGCATATGATACACCACAAGAGATATATCCAGAAAACCACTAAAAATATCATAATACTCTATTGAATAACCTCATTTATATAATTTTCATGCACACCTGAAGGTACTGTTTTGTCTGGGAATAAATGCCGAAAAAGAGAGATCCTTCCAAAGCCATCCCAGCAAAAGATGATGTTGCTCCTCTATAAAATCCTTTCAACTGAAATGGAATCAGTACTATTATTTGGGAACCTCAAATTATTTCCCTCAAATTCTCATATTAAAAATGAATAAGAAAAAGAAAGCATGGCTTTGCCTATTATTAAGAGATATACAATCATCAGCACCAAAAGAGAGAAACAATCATCATTCATAGACCTCCACCTATATGTCCTAATAGTTGATACTTTTAAGATAGGTAGCTCTGACATAGTATCATACAGAAAGAAACAGTTTCACTTGAAAGTAAAGCAACACAGCAGAAAGGAACTATAAATGTGAAAGTTAATTTGCATAATGTAAAGCAGAGTAGCATACAGATTTTACAAATAAGCAAAATAAGTACAATGATCAACTTTCGTGAAATATAATTTACAGTTCAAACTTGACATCATTTAGCAAGAAATTAGATGTTTGGTTACATCAAATCAAAATTGATTTTGCTTCAAAATCCCAGTTTGACTAAAAACTATAAGATAACGTTTGTATTAGGTTGAAAAAATCATGCTAAGTTCAGTCACACAAAGTTTATGCAAAGTTTTACATCAAACTTATTTTTCGAACAAAAAATTTCCAACATAAATTTCTTCACTTCAAACCCAATTTTAACCAAATCAATCTCAAATGTCTATCAAACACAAACTTAATGTGAACCTAATTAGACTCTAAAAACAGAAGATAAAAATCAGATGGCCAGACTACTTCATTATTATTCACTGAATGACGTGATGGTCTCATAGTTAATAGAATGCTCGACTCCCATACTAACTAAAACAATATTGTTCTGGGCCGCTCGCAAGGTCCGCGACAAAAGGCCCAATAGCAAAAATCATACAGAAAAGCGCAAGGAACAGGTGAGGCTTCAGCCAAATTGAGGGTACGGGATTCCGGCCTCCGGCACACTTCTCACCGTTAAATCTAATCAAACAGTCACCCGCATAAGGCATTGGATCTCATGGAGACGGTTTTAACCGTCCGTCTTATATAAAGCACAACGCACGTCATTTCAGGTATTCTCTCATTCACACACTCAAACTACTTTCTTACTCACTTTTTTACTTGGGTGTTGGAGTGCTAACCTTATAGGTCCACCCTTGCTCCGCCTTATCAGAAGTTCACTCCACCACATCAGAGCTCAAGCATGTTCGATCAATCTACCGCTATCTCTTGTTCCAGTACAGAACAGAAATCAATTGAGTAAATGATCCCGTAGCATACCTAATTACCGACATTATAAAAACTACAATCGACAAGAATTCCTACTTTTATACACGAAGTTATCAACTATTTCACATTCTTATGTTAACTCGAAAGAAGACACTAAAACATTAAAAGATTATCTCATTTGATAACTCTATAGTATATGAAAATATTTGATAGCTCTATAGTATATGAAAATATTTGATAACAGATCAAAAGACATACTCCTTCAGTTTTGAATATCCTAGCAGTGCAATGCAATCCATTTCTGTACTGAACTAGATGTGGCTCTGCGTTATGCTTCTGCAGCTTCACCTGATAAACAATTACACACACATCACTGCATCAAGTGATATCTCACTAAAAACCTAAAAATCAATGATCAGAGAAAATTGCTCAAAACAATGACTTGAAAGAATGGTGAGTGAAAGAAAAGAGTTCGAACCTTAACGGTATCAAAGGGGTGGCCGGTGGCTACAGCGGAAACTCCAGCGAGCAAGCCAGCGACGTAATCCTTGTAACCTGAACTTGAAATTTCGCCCATTTCACTCACTCGCTAGAATTGGAATTGTCAACTGCATATGAACAGTGTTGTGGTGCAATTTTATGGTTCAATCGTTGGCCGGCGCAGTGTGAAATCTCTAGTGCCGCCGTCGCCGGAATGAGGTGAAATTAAAGGTTAAAGATTATGTGTCGAACAAGCAAATCAATCAACATTCTTCGAGAACAACTATGTCATTTATTCTTTCAATAAACAAGGAAAGAGAAGTTTTTCCTTTTTATAGGAAAATAAGCTTTTCTTTTTTATTGAAAAAAAAAGTTTTTCTTTTTTTATATTATCTAATCCATATCCTTAATATATAAAAAAAAAAAATATCTTTTAGGTTCATATGTATCTAAATTATATTTATTTTAGATATATTAATTATTTAATAAATTTAAAAAATATTTTTTATATTAAAAATTAGATAAAATAAATATTATACTTTTCAAAATAAACATCAAATTTCATTTTTTATGTTCTAAATTTTGAATTTTTTTTAGTTTACATAAAAAAAACTATTGGATTTTAGTTCATAAAAATAGTTAGCAGATATCCCGTAACACTCTTTGAAGATTTAAAGTAAAGAAAATAATTTTTAAATGAGTTAAATATTTTAATTTATGATGTATTAAATACACGTATTTAAAAAAAAACTACTTAAATAGCACCTCGAGATATTCGTTAACATTCCTTAAATAGTTTTTAGTCTCTATTCTTAGATGAAGTTTGAGATCATGTTTAGGGCGGAAATAGATTGTGTAGAGCCCGACTTTTATTAAAATAGTTTAAACTTAATTAAAAAATTAAGGGTTGCTATTTTTACCCTTAGTGGTAAAGAATCGTCCTCGTAAATCCTAATATTGTCATTTTAACATTTTATAAGTACATCTTCAAATGTGCTTAATGCATACTGAAATACGTCAGTGAGACACTCTTATTATTTTAAAAAGTTATTTGTAACACTACAAAATATATATTTTTACCACGGTTTGAAGAAGGATTTTACCATGGTTTGACGTTTGTGATAACAAAAGGTGCTAACAAAACCTATTCAAAAGTTGAAACAAGATGACACCGGAAAGAGGAAATATGAGTGTCCATTTAAGATGGGCGAGTACTTTATGGCGAACAATACATGGACATTTAATGTGGCTTGTGGTATACACAATTATAACTTGTGTTACAAGTTGGTTGGTCATCACATGGCACGTTGGTTGGTCATCACATGGCACGTCGCCTTAATCCTGAAGAAAAAAAATCTTGTTTTTGGCATAACATTGAACACGGTGATGCGCAAAAAATTACTTGCAACTTTGAAATGGAAAATACCTCAAAATGTCTCAAATATCAAGCAAGTATACAATGTCTTTGCCCCGAACAATAAGGCGATAAGAGGTCTAATAACTAAAATGCAACAATTGTTGAAGTTTTTGGATGACAATCATTATGCATCAAGGTATAAAGTGTGGGAGGATAGAAAAATCGTTTGAGATATATTTTGGACTCGTCCTGATTCCATCAAGTTATTCTACACATTTCTCACTGTGTTCATTATTGATTCAACATGTAAGACCAACAAGTATAGACTTTGGTTTTTGGAAATTGTTAGTGTTACTTCTATGAAAATGACTTTTTTTAGTTGGGTTTGCATTTTTTGAAAGTGAAAAAGAGGAAAATGTTACTTGGGCTTTAGAAGTGTGTCGGACTATGTTGAAGGACCAAGAAAACATGCTAAAGGTCATCGTCACGGATCGCGATACTACACTGATGAATTCGGTTGCAAAGGTGTTTTAAATATCATATGCATTATTTTGTAGGTATCACATAACAAAATTTTGAGAAGTAGACTTAAGCATATGTTAAGGACAAAACAAATCAAGGGTGAAGATGGAAAAATGATTATGATAGGTGTGATATTAGAAAGCACCATGGATGTCTGGAATGTTATAATAAATTCCTATATGGAAGAGGTATATGCCAAATATGTAATATATTTCAGGAGGGTGTGTGAGAAATATCTAGATTTCTTAAAATATGTTGAATGTACAATTCTAGACCATGTGAAGGAGAAAATTATAGCTTGGAGTGATCAGGTTAGACACTTTAAAAATACAACAACTAACAAGAGTTTAACCTGTTCATACTACATTGAAATTTTGGTTGGAGAATAATAGAGGTAATATATGTAAAGATTGGTACTTTGTAAACAAAATGATCCAAAACCACCATAACAATATACAAACATCATTTGTTCGTAAAATCATAGTATTAAAACACAAGTTCAGAGACAATAATATTTATTCACAGTTGGTAGGTAATATCTCGAGTGGGATTGACTTTTATTTATCAGGAAGCCAACCAAGTAAAGAAATTAGGTTTAGATTGCTCAAAGTATGGTTTTACACTTAGGAAGATGTACGGACTTCCGTGTGCTTGTTTAATTTCAAAGAAGATGAAACTTGACAGACACGTAAGAACTAATGATGTGTACACGCACTGGAAAATGCTCTGGTTTTATGGTGATACCAAAAGGCCTAATTTCCCAATGCCTAGCCCATTTTAGGTCGACTCTGCTCCACCCAATATATATAAAAAATCCACGTACTATGAGAAGGTATATAATCTCTGATCTCCAATTTCACTATACTCATCTTGAATCTTCAACTGAATTGGGTGTTGGAGTGTTAATTATGTAGGTCCACCCCGCGCCAACGTAAAGGAGATCAAAGTCATCGTTCAAGATCAGAAGTTATATAACTCTCATAATTTATAGTTCCTTCGTGAAGCAGGAACATTCATTTATAGTTCCCAAATGGAGCAGTGGTGTTGTTTTTGGGAATCAACTTATGATTCCAACGATTTCCGCAAGGTCGTGTTTGCTTTACAAATACCTTCGAGCAAACTCAGAAGCTCTATATCTGGATTCTTGTGTTTCATATCCAAATCTCTGATTGATCAGTTCTTAACCTCCTTAGGTTACCAAATCAAGATCAAATTAACTTCCAATTTCCACACATTTTGCAAATATATAATCACCTTACAATTTAACCACGTACAACCTTCGTAGATCTCTAGATCAAAAGCATTCATAGGCGAATGCGGGGATACATCTTCGTTAGTTCAGGGTATCGTTATTTCTATCACGGTTCATCAGGTTTTGAACCCATGAGTTCCTCGAGAACTCCACAAAATAGCATAAGAAAAGACCTCAGATCCATATCTAGGGTTGCGTCGAGGTCAAAAGGTGACTCCCATGAAGGTCGAGTCGGAGGTTCGCAATCCATCTTCCAACCTAATGTCTTCCTCACTTTCCCCCCTTTTGTCGGGTTGTTTACCAAGGCGACATCTTCAAGATACTACAAGGTTGTAGTTTATGTAACCCCTGGTCCCTATGAGCGGAACATTCGTGAAGTCACCACAACTAAAGACAATCTCAACACCATCATATTCATGAGAAACAAGGCGATCAAGGTTGGGTAGTAATAGATGTTAGCAAGCAAGGTTGTTGTCGGATTATGGGTCAAGAAAACACAAATAGCATGCATATAAATGAAATCAACAATGTTGGGAAACAAGGCAATCCCATAAATGAGTAAGGCTAGTAGTGCCTTGAAGACATCCCATTTTTCTGCATCTGCAAATGCTAAAGCTTTCTCCATTAGGAACTTTCCAAGAAAACCTATAGTGTTGCCTTTACGTCCTATATTTGAAATCACCTCTTGTTTATCCATGTGGGGAGAATCAACTACTACTTCAAGCTTTGGGAGCTCGCTCAAACCGGTGAAAAGAGGTTTATCCTTCATAGAGATACATGTGACGTGTTTAACTTCTTCTAGTGTCGGGGCTCACTGGAAGTCCTGGAATGTAAATCATATCAAAGGAGGGTCATAGAATTGAGATAAAGTTAATAAAGCCCAAGGATTAACTTCTTCACTTTGTAGAGCAATAAGATTCCCATAATTCTTCTTGAAGTCATAATTATTGATGATGGTTAGCCTGGATCTTAGTTATTTCAAACCTTTTAACTTGAGAGACTTGTACTTGAATGAGTATGTGTTTCTTCTGTATGAACTCATATTTATGAATGCTTATAACAATTGTAATCTTTAGATTCCGTAGAAACAAAAATGCAAATGCTAAGTATTATGTTCATGAGCATGTAATGCATATGCATGTTTCAGGATCACACGCATATCATGTTCAAGTCAATCAGGGTAACATATTAGAAAAAGTATAGGTGTCTCTGATTAGTGGAATTTCTAAAGGTAGGCTCTATGGTTGTAAGTTCACAGAGTAATGGACCCTTTTTGGAAATATTGTTGCCACAACAACTACTCGTTAGACATCTATATCCCTAAGAGAATCTACTCCATATGAGGTCTTCGTATCGACCTAACGAGTCATAAGTCTCACAGGTCCATACTACTCAACCATCGACTCCAAGGTTCTAAAGAAGGTCCCTAGAGTCACGAATCTCAATTGAAAATATTATCGTCGTAACGACTACTCGTTAAACAATAATACTTTCAATAGGATATACTCTAGGCAGGTTTTCCATGCCAACCAAACAAAATCTACATCTTGAAGGTTGAACACCATACAACCACCATCTTATGCTTAGGTGTTTTCTCAGACTCGGGTATAGAGCCTATCTCACACAATGTCAATAATCTGAGCGACCCATAGCAGATAAACAGGCAACAATAACAACATATAAGAGGGAAATAAAACAGATATAAGAAAATAATTATACAAATCCAAAATTTTAGTCGCAAATTTAACTAAATTAGGCTTGACTCTCTCATGCAGAAGCAAAGTCCTCAGCAGAGTCGACAACTGTCGCATCGCAAAAAATAAGACCTATGAGCGCATCACATGCTCGCAGATGATTGAACAGAGTTATCAATGAACTTTATTTATTCCAAATAAGGAAAGGGAAAATATTGATAAAGCTCTTAAAAGAAAAAGAAAACACTCATCGCAACCAAATTTGAGTTTGG